ATGCTTACGAAAGGTTAGGCGATATCGTGAACGCCATCAGCGACTTGAGGGCCACAACCAAAATGCGTTCAGACAATACCGACGGATACTTAAGACTCAGTAAATTGCACTTTGATTTGGGAGAAGCGGACGAATCACTCAATACCATCAGAGAGTGTCTGAAGTTAGATCCGGATCACAAGCCATGCTTTAGTCACTACAAGAAAGTCAAGAAATTGGCCGCAAATGTGAAGGCAATGAATGAGTTCGCGACTGAGAATCAGTTCAAGGAGTGCGCCGAGAAGGCCAGGGCTGCCCTCAAACAGGAGACCGAAAATATGAATATGATTCATGTGATCAAATCCAAACTCTGTCACTGTTTAACTAAAGTGAGTCTTCGGCTAACAGTTCCAGTATTTGAGGACAAAATTGAATGTGTTTTTAATTTGTGTATTTGTCACCCAATAGGGAGGGGATGCGAGCGAAGCAATTACCGTATGTTCAGAGGCTTTGAAAATATATCCGGAAGACGTGAATGTTCTGTGCGATAGAGCCGATGCTCATCTCAATAATGAAAATTATGACGAGGGTATGTTTACACTACTACACACTCCAGTCATTTGTTATTTCTTATATCACTTGTTTTTGACATTCAATTTTAAACAAACATTTGCAACAATTGTCATTTAATTTTATTAATTAATTTTAAAATTATATAGTACTTGTACAGTACAGTACAGTACAGTACCTCACAATTGGTATTTGACAACTGTTTTAAATGTCATGCAGTGAATTCACATTTACATTACTGTATTAATGTTTACATATTGATTGTACAAATATATTGATTATTAGTTTAAGTTCTAGTAATTGATTGTTAATATGATGTATTGTATTGAATAGCACTGAATGACTTCAAAAGAGCGGCACAATTGGACGAACACTCGACCAGAGCTGAAGAGGGAATAAAGAGAACTCAAAAGTTGGAAAAACAGAGCAAAAAACGAGATTATTATAAGATATTAGGAGTTCCTCGTAATGCCAATAAGAAGGAGATCTCGAAGGCATACCGGAAA